ATATTCAATTATTCTATGTAACTGAAAAATAATTAGTAGTGTCATATCAAAAGAATTATTAACGTTAAATAAAATGCATTCCCCATTGGAAAGTTTTTATGGTGAAATAAAACATTTTAGGAAGAACATAACATTCCTCAAAAACTTAAATATGACTATGAAAAATTAAACAGGTAAGAACTGCAGAGTAAGTTTCTAAGCAACTATTTTAAATCAATTAACAGATGTATCAGAGTGGCTATTTGTTGGACACCCATATTTGCAACTGGAATGCCTGGTTTCAAGGTCTTAATAGGCTTCCTATTTCAGTTGCCTGCAAAAATGCAACCAGGGTGGCAGCAGGGGGTGGTCTAGCAAGTTAGGATTCTCCCAATCCCCATGGGAGACCCATTTTAAGAGTCCTAGTTGTCATGGGGATTTGAAGAATGAATTGTCAAATGAAAAGTCTCTGCATAGCTGGCTGAATTGTTTTTCTTGTCTGACATTCTCCCCCTCTCTCTCTCTGCATTCTTCTAAAACACAATTTAAAAGATTTTTAAAAATCAGGCCCTATTGCCTATTGCAGCAATAGCCTAGCAGTTAAAAAATGGAAGGGAAGGAATTGCCTTCATATTCCTCAGTGGCTGCAATCTCTTTTCCTTCCTTTCTTCAGTGTTTGAATACTCAGAATTTGGTCTTGAATTTCAAGTACACCCTTTTCCCAGTAAACTCTGCCTTTTGTTTTTCCTCCTATATACCTTTGGCATCATTTTTGCATATAAGTGTTAGTAGATGGCCCAATACCTGTCTCTAACACAGATCTCTTTTCTGAGCTACTAGAGTAATAGGACAATGCCTACGTGCCCTCTGACATCTCAGCTGATATGTATCTCAGGCCTGGAAAAGCAGCAGAAAATGGCCCAAAGCCTTGGGACCCTGTACCCGTAAGGGAGACCCTGAAAGACTCCTTGGCTTCCATTTCTCCTCCCCCTCACACTTCCCCTACACACTCTTCCTACACAAGGAAGTCTTTCCTTGGGTAAGGACAGGCGAAATTTCCTTAAACTGCTGCCAGGGAGAAGCTGGGATCTCAACCATAACGAGAAGCTAGAGAAGAGTAAATCTATAAGTCAAGACAGAGGAGTTGCTCGCAAGAGCCTATATTGTTCTATAGAACTGAAGTGTAGCTCCAGTCTACACTAATTTTTAAAAAGAACTCTTAAGACTTTAAGGTTCCTAACAAGGAAATGATAAACATTTAGAGATGGAAAACCTGTGGCTCTTATTTGATCTTGCACACTGCATACATGAAGTGAATTTCCCTCTACACCCCACATATGTACAATTATACATTAATTAAAATTTAGAAAATACAAAAAAAATCAAGCTACAATGGTCTGAGGTGAAAAGAGTGAACAAATGAGGAGAGTCTATATAAACAATATTCTGCTACAGGGAGGGACAAAAGGGGACAGAAGGTGTGAGAGCAGGAACCATTTGTTCCATGGAGACTGTTTTATTTGACTGTGATAAAACAAACAAAAGTATACTTTCAGGCCCGGCGCGGTGGCGCAAGTGCAGTGGTTAAGGTCCTCGCCTTGCACGCCCCACGATCCCATATGGGCGCTGGTTCTATCCCGGCAGCCCCGCTTCCCTTCCAGCTCCCTGCCTGTGGCCCGGGAAAGCAGCAGAGGACAGCCCAAAGCCTTGGGACCCTGCACGCATGTGGGAGACCCAGAAGAGGCTCCTGGCTTCAGATCAGCATCGGCCATTGCGCTCACTTGGGGAGTGAATCATCAGATGAAAGATCTTCCTCTCTGTATATCTGCCTTTCCATAAAAAAAATAATAATAACAATAAATCTTTTTTAAAAAGTATACTTTCAAAGTAAGAAGAATAATCTAGCATGAAAGAATAGTTGGAATAGTGGGGAAGATGGAGAGGAGGCTGACCAGGTGTAATCTTCTCAAATACTAGTCATTTGTACAAAGATCCTAAAAATTAAACTTCACAACTTTATATAGAATGTAATGCTAATGAGAACTGGAAAGCTACATTTCATTAAGCTTCACCAAATTTTTGTGGCAAACAAGTTGTGCTATACCCTGAATGTCACTTCTAGACATTTTTTTTAAATGTATTTGAAAGGCACAGTTACGGGGGGGGGGGGTGCAGACACAGAAATCTTTACCTAGTGGATCACTTCCCCAAGGCCATTCAGCAGCAGGGCTAGGCTGGCCCAAAGTCAGGAATCTGCAACTACATTCAGGACTTCTAAGCAGCTGGCATGGTCCCACATACTTACATCTTCTGCTGCTTTCCCAGGCACATGACCAGGGAGCTCAATGCGAACTGGAGCAGCCAGTACTCATGGCAGTAATCAAAATGAATGCCAGAACCCCATGTGGCAACTTAACCTACCACAGGCACATTATTGCCAGCTCATATTTCTACACTTTAGTGACAAAGTTGTAAAGTGAATGAAATAAGAAAAGTTTAATGTAGAAATCAGGCACACTGTTGAGGGGATCTACTGAAAGAATGGTACAGTGAATATACAATTAAAGGGAAAAAAAGTGCCTAGCGAAATGGCTCAATTAGCTAATCCTTCAAGTTCAAGTTCCAGGATTCCCTGTGGGCTTAATTTCCTTTCTAGTGGCCTGGGAAAGCAGCAGTGAATGGCCCAAAGCCTTGGGACCCTGCACCCATAAGGGAGACCCTGAAAGACTCCTTGCTTTCAAATCAGCTCAGCTCTGGCTGTTGCAGCCACTTTGGGAGTGATATCAGCAGACAAAAGACCATTCGGCCTCTCCTCTCGGTAGATCTGCACTTCCAATAATAAAAAATCTCTTTTTTTTTTAAGAAAAATGTAAAATTCCAAACTTACAATAATACAAGATTTGTATACACATAAAGTTGTGAGCTAAATGATCCTCCTGAGACCTCCACAATCAATAACAGAATAAAATCAGTTGAAAAATAAATTTCAAATTACAACAGAATATAATTGATTTAATGAAAATAAATTCATTGTCAAAAAAATACTCACTGAAAACCACATATAGTTACAATATAAACTTTTCCTCAGAAGGATATTTTAGTCATTTTCCCTCCCTGAACACTGGTGATATAAACAGCAAATTATGTGGCAGCATGTGGTAAACTATGAACATACCGAAATGATCAAAAAAATTCATAATAAAACAGGAAAGTAGCAAAGAACAAGTAGACAGAAACAATACATGAAAAACCACTATGAGTACATTTGTAACAATCATGTTGATTGTGCTAGCTGTGTGCCAATTTTAGCTGACTTCATATTTCATATATAATTTCATAACTATGAGAACAATAATTATCTTCCATTTTACAGGTGAATGACTGAGAACCCTCTCCAAGCAAAAGAACTAGAAAACGGCAGTGTCACTGCAGAGTGCATGCCGCCTTCCATCATGCTGTACTAGCTGACTACACCTGCCAACAATGAGGCCGTCATTCTCTAAGATAGAATGATTTTCTAATGATGGGAAAGCATATACTATAGAAGTGTTGCTTATTAACTATTAGTATACCGGATAAAAGAAGAAATGAGCTCAATATCAACAAGAGGCCAAAAACTATGTTTTACAAGTATAAAACTCAGAAATATACTTGCTACAGAAAATGAGATTCTACTAAATGAACTTTTTTTCCTAGTATACTATGCCTATTGATGCTTGCAATATGGTGATGCATCTGATATGATAAACTGAGAATGGAAACAATGTAAGAACTCTGTTAAGATGAAAAACTGTAACAGCTGCATTTCTTTGCTCACTACAAGTTTCTTTGCCCACTGTTTGAACTAGACTATCCAAAGATGAAGTCTAGTCATTAATAAATGGCTAAAACAAAAATGGTAAAGTGTAGATCTAAAAAATATATGTCCACTGGAGAATCCTAATTTTAGAAAAGTAATTGCATTATTTTTTAAAGACAACATTATTTACCACCCCCATGCCTAAAACGATTACTTTGCTAATAGAAATTTTTAAAAATGACAAATCTATAAAAAGAGAAAATTTCCTTAACTCACTGCTTTAAAAGGCAGTAATACAGAGAAGGGAAACAAGGTATATAAATTTAACATATAACCAAAACCGAGAATTTCCTAACTCTCCTTAGCCTATATAACTCCACTTTGTGTTCTATATGAATGCAAATAATATAAAAGAATACAAACTCAATCAGAAATATTTGAGTTTCACAAAAAGTAGAGTTGAAGAGTAATGAGTAACATCCATGTACAAGATTTGGGCCTCATCATATATCATCCACTTCACAGCTTCTTTCATGGCTACCTTAAGGCAATGATCCAATCAAATACCCACTTCCCACGGAAGCGTCAATTAATTCCAGAATAAACAAGAATAAACAACATTCCCCAACCCAGCCAAATGCCTTTATAAAAGGCAACAAAAGTGTAAGACTTTACTAACAAAGAACCTAATTTCAGAAAAAGGCCATAGCGTAAAATTTTAAATGCTATATTTCCCATGGTCTAGTACAGTAACCAAATTTACCTTTTTTCTTGGGTTTTTAGATAAATTATCTTTAAATATACATTCAAATGTGAACTTTCAAAAAATTTAAATATATAGAAGAAATGCTCAATTTTTGCCTTTTACGCACCATAATATCTAAGAGAAAATGCAGGGACAGGTGATTAGTGATTAGACACCAATTAGTATGTGCAAACACTCCTTATCAGAGGGTTTCAGCTTTATATTTACCTCCAGGTTCTGATTTCAGCTTCTTGCTAATGAGGACAGACTTCAGAAGACAGCAGCAACGAAGCAAGTAATTGGATCCTTTACTATCGTGTAGTAGCCACAGACTGAGTTCTTGGCTCCCATTTTCACTCACAACAGGGCAAGCTGTTGCAAAGTAAATGAGCAGATAGGAACACACTCATTCTTTACCTGTTTACCTGCCTCTCAAAACAAGTATTAAATCTACACATATAACAATTAGTACCTTACCTTAAACCAAAGATGTGTGACTGCTCGTAGTTGAAGAGAGAGCGAATCTTAGCTTCAGAATTTAATATTGTCACTCTATCAATAATATCCTGAAATAAACGGTAAAACTATGTTTCATTGAAATCTTTTAAGAGATGATTAATAGTTCTCAATCTGATTTCACAACTAAAATCATCAGAGGAAGTTTTAAAAAAATACTGAAAGGTACCCCCAGAGGTTTTTTAATTGACTGTGCTGGATGTGGCCTGCCCATTACGATTTGTGAGAGTTGCTGAAGTGAAGCTAATATTCAACCTAACTGACCAATTGTTTACACTTCACTCTAGAACTGGTAAGCAATGTGCAAGTCAGTGAATACTAATAAAATTTTCCCAACTTTAGGCTACTTTGAAAAACAAGAAACTCACAAATGTCAAGTGAATCTGAACAGGATTATCTAGTGATTATATGACATAGTTTTTAACAGAGATTCTCTAGCTCATGGAAAGAAACAGTTACCAATTTACAAAATTTTAAAATATCCAAATGAATATCCAAGGTCTACCCAAGATTAACTAAACCAAAGGGAATTCCAGCATAAAAACTGTTTGAAAGCTTTCCAGGGGGTTATGATGTATAGCCAGGCTTCAAGACCTCTGATGAAAGCGCAGAGTACCTCATAACCTTGGTGCCTCCACTGTCCTAAGCACTGACAATTCCAGCCACTACAAAATATTTACTGAGCTCTCTGTGGATAATGATACAAAGGCCACAAAAGCAGACAAAGAGGCAAGAAAGGTATATGGAAAGAGAAATTAACAGTGGTGAAGAACCTCTTTAGACACATACTAATCAAAATGCAGCAAACAAAAAACAGATTTTTTTCCTGTAAATTTACCTATTAAAATTTTAAATTCAACACTTAATAAAGCATTTTCCATTCTATATTTTCTTACACAAAAGTGTACTAAAATTAAAGAATTAAAAATTGGCTATTGTAAAATAATCCAACATTGTCTGCTTCTTAGCTGAGCAATCTTACATTGTAATCAGACATTACAAAAGAACCTGAAACATCCTAAAGAATTAAAAGTTGGTTATTGTAAAATAATTTGACATTGTCTGCTTCTTAGCTGAGCAATCTTACACTGTAGTCAGACATTACAAAAGGACCTGAAGTTATAAATACTCATATTCAAAATTTCTAGCTGAACACCTTACTCTAATTAATGACCTTTCCACACTCTCCCTGTCTTCTCTAATGTTTTCACTCTGATTTTCCTGACTTAGCTACAGCATAAGACACAGAGGTCTTTTTCACTTGCCCGGATATTGTTAAGAAGTCTCCAGGAGACATAACAAGGAAACTTGTTTGTTACACAATTCCTCACATATGTAGTATTTTTCCTGCTCAATAATTATTTTCATTTTAAAGAAATTTCTTTCACCATAATCTTCACAGAATCAACTACAAGATTGTTAAATTTTCTATCACTCTCTTCTGCCTGAAAAGAAAAACAATATTCTACGCAAAGTAATCTCTAACCAGACTTCTGCTCATTAGTAGCATATTAGTGCAGGTGGCTGAAACATGTACAGTTGTCTGCTGAATGCTAGTTCAGACTAGTCGACACCTTGTAACTGTAAAGTTCTAGTTCTGAAAGTAAGTACTAGATACTGTGAGAATAACAATGATAGAAAGGGATCATATTACAAACAAGCTAATGGAATACTGGATTGCAGCAATCAATCAGTGATAATGCATTTTCGGAGAACAAAGGTTACGGTAAATGTTTTCTTCTTCAAAGAGGATTACATTGATGTATTACCACTTAGGAAAGAAAATGAAATTCCAGGGAAGCCTTCCTTATGGAAAGCTTCAGTTTCTAAGCACCATAATGTGTGTCAATAAGAGAATCAGTTTCCTGTATCAAAAAGCAGCTTCCCAGAACAGGCAAATGTAACTAAAGGCCTGCAGCTGATAAAAAGTTATTGAAAAATGTCTTTTTTAAAAAAGCATATTATGTGGCTTGAAAACATATCTAGTAACCTAACAGACATGTGTGAAACCCAGACTGGAAAAAAAGAATGGAATATTCATTATATACACAACTAGATGAACACCTGAATGCTATTCTGTTAGCATACACATGGCATTCAGACAGTTATCTGATTCCTTTTACCTTAGAAATAGGGAAAATGGGACCAGCACTGTAGCATTGCAACTAAAGCTGCTGCTTATAGTGCCAGCATCACATACACATGCCAGTTTGAGTCAGGGCTACTCCGCCACCAATCCAGCTCCCTGCTAATGTGCTTGGGAAAGCAAAATCCATGAATTCTCTTGGGAGATCCAGAAGAAGCTCTTGGTTCATTACCCTGCTCCTCCCAACCCATCTACTAACATCCAACATTCTCCTCTCTGCTTTTATGATCTGGACTTTTTAATAGCATTTAATGATTTGGGAAACAGAAAAACAGAAGCAGGATCATTCATCCGCTGGTTTACTCTCCAAGACCTGCAACAGCAGAGCCTGGAACAAGCCAAAACCAGAGCCAGGAATGCAACCCAGAGTTCCAATATGGGAAGCAGGCGCTGAATTACTCAAGCCATCAGTTGCTGTCTCCAAGGAAGCATCTTAGCAGTAAGGTGGAATTTCAACAGGAGCTAAGACTCAAATACGGGCACTCCAGTACAGATGCTAGGTATCCATGATAACAATTCAACTACATCAACTTCCCCAACTTGTACTATTCACAATGTAAGCAGTATTCTATAATACATGTCCTTTCTCTGTTTGGCTCATCTCACATACCACAATACTCTCTTTAACAGGGTTTGATCAGACCTGCTCAAGGCCATACAACTAATAAACAGCACAATTACAAGTCTAATTCAGAAGGTCAGCTTCCATATACAAATTATAAAACATTACACTACATTTGGTTTCAAACAAAATCAACATGGGATGTGACAACAGGACAAAGGAAGAGTGGTAAGGAGGGAGACAGACACAAACAAATGTGGACCTCACAGCATGTATAGTTTTGCTTCAAACTGTCCTTGATTATACTAAAAATTGATTAATCAAATCAATACATTTTCTTTCTGCCTAAACTTACTCAAACTGCATTTTTCTATCCAATATGCAAAAATATTTTTATTCCACTAACATGTAGCTGAAAGTGTAGGGATGGAAAATAAATTCCAACACAAACTAATGTCTGTTAAAGGGAACGTTTATGCATGTTGTTCATAAAGGACAGAGTTTCAAGAGACACCTGACACAGGACCTAACATCCCTAAAAGATAAAGAATCTCCAAAAATTGAGAAGAGTAACACAGATATAAAAATGTTTTTTTAAAGCAGTGCTGATGACTTTTAAACAGGAAAAAAAAAAAGCCTGTTATAAGCTAACACTTCTCTTTTGACCACATACTCTTCTTTTAAAAGATGATTTATTTTTAATGAAAAGTCAGACCCACAAAGAGAAGGAAAGATCTTCCATATGCTTTGCACCTGAAATGCCTGGAGCTGGGCTGATCTGAAGCCAGGAGCCTGGAGCTTCTTTTGGGACTCCCACATGGGTGTAGGTTCTCAAAGCTTTGGGCCATCCTCAACTGCTGTCTCAGGCTACGAACAGGGAGCTGGAAGGGAAGTGGGGCAGCTGGGATATGAACCAGTGCCCTTATACAATCCTGGTACATGCAAGGCAAGGACCTTAGCCACTAGGCTACCACTCCGGGCCTCACATGCTCTTGTAAAGCATCCTAATAGGAACACAGGTACAATAATACCTGAACAACAGGACTACCGAACAAATGTTCTCAATGGATGAAAATCAAGCATTATATGCCAAATATCGATATGTATTACATAGGAATTTACCTTTAAACCCAGTGGTAGTGTTTCTAAAAATTAGCCCCCCAAGACACTGTGGTACCTGTAGTGGCTCTCTAGATTCTCAAACACCAAACACAAAAGCAAGTAAGACTATGAGGAAATCTTTCTGATTTAACAAGTATTCTTAATCTGTAGATTTTTAGATTACCAAAGTATATTTGACCTAATCACAGGAATGATGTAAAAACTAGAGTTTTCTCCAACTGGACAAAAACAGCAATTCAAAGAGAATGGAAGGAATCTGATATGAAGGATGTTCCCTTCCCCATTTATGAAATGCAGAATTTCCCAGGACAAAGGACTAAGAGTAGCCTGCAGAAACTATGGGACATCTGGCTGACAGACAACAAAGATCTGGGCAGTTCAATCCTACAGCTACAAGAAAATGAATTCCAACATAAACAAGAATAAAGTTGGAAATAGATTTTCTCAGACCATACAGTGGAGCACATGGCTTTGATAAAACCTTGACTTCAAGCACATACAACTTGAGCAAAAAACTCAAACATACTGTACTGAAATTCTGACCTAAAAACCTATGACCTCATAAGTACACATTGTTTTACTTTCTTAAGTTTGTTGGAATTTCTTATGCACTGATGGGAAAAACATACATGCTTATTGACAAATATAAGCTAAGACTATTAATTCAAGTATCACTTATTTAAGCAAAATACTTCAAAGAAACCAAATGTGCATCAATGGATAAACAGATGAATACACTCTAGCATATACACACAATGGACAATACAAATGTAAACAGGAGGAAAGTTCAAGAAGAGCCCAATAAGTGCTATGAAGTAATATTCAAAATCAGGAGAAACACAAAGTGTCAATCCACTAAACAATATATAAAGGAAATGAAGTACATATACACAATGGCATAGTACTTAATAAAAAAGGAATAGAATGGCAAAATTTTAAATAACACACATAGAAGTGGTATTTAATCAATAAACAAAAGAAGCCAAGCATAGAAAAATTAGGTATTGCATAACTTCACTCATAAGCTCCTGCTGGTGAAGACATAAGCCAGCGCTAGAGGTGGGACAGGTCAGGCAAGGTGCAGCACTCAGTCTATGTGCAGGCTGGGACTATAGGCAAGGCAAGCTGGGACAACCCACAGCACCTGCTACCATGTGCAGGAGCCATGATAGGGCATGAGCCATGTAGAGGTGGGCTGCAGCACCTTCCTGTTCACATGAGAGCTAGGGTTAGGGACAGGACAGGCTGGGTTAGGCTGCTGCAGCTGCTGGCAATGAGTCCATGTAACCATCAACATGCACAAAAACCAGAGCTGGAAGTGGGCCTGGTAGGGGAACTTTGGGGCCCCTCTTTCCATAATGTAGCACACACTGGTTAGCAGAAGAGCTATAGTTGCGAAGAGCCTGGGTATGAAAAGGCTGCAGCATCCATCAGCCTGCATATGGGCTGGTTCTGGGGGTGGTCCGGACTGGCCTATGTGGGTGGCAGCATCTGCTGGCATTCACAGGAATCAGAATGGGCATGAATGGACAGGACTAGATCACAGCACCTGGCAGACCATATGAAAGCCAAATCTAGGGGTAGGCCAGGTTAGGCTAGATAGCACCACCCGCTAATTAGAGCTGAAATAAGTGTGGGTCAGTTGACCTAGACAACAGTACCCAACACAGAGTGCAAGGACTAGGGGTGTGCCATGTCAGGCACCTGCCAGCACACGCAGTATCTATGTAAACAATGTCTATGTAAATAATATCTAAGTAAGCAATACTAAAAATAAAGTTAAAACTTAAAAAATATTAACATTAAAATATTATGGTTAACAAGGGCTAAAAGTATTCAAAAGAGGAAAATGTGACTATAAAAATTATAACATAGCCTGGCATGATAATCTGGTGGCTAAAGTTTTTGCCTTGCATCTGCAGGGATCACATAAGAGTGCTGGTTCATATCCCAGCTGCTCTACTTCCCTTCCAGCTCCCTGCTTGTGTCCTTGGAAAGCAATCGAGGATGACCCAAAGTGGTCACAACGGCTGGAACCAAAGCAGACCTAAGCAAGGACACCGTGGTTTCTTTCCCAGTCTCCCGTGTAGGCTCAGAGTCCCAAGGCTTTGGGCTGTCCTCTATCCAACAAATGAAGGCACAGTATTGGTATAACTAGCAACATAATGAGTCTTCGAAAAGCAATTCATACATATACTTCTATTTATTTCAAACCCCTTTCCTTATTCAAAAGTTACCCTTGTATTGTGATAGATGTTGGGACTACTGGGCAGTGTAGATCACAGATGCACTAATACATAATTCAAATATTAATAATGCATAGATAAATGATATCCGCTTTTAAAAGTCATCAACAGTGGGAATGGCTAATTATATTCTTACTACCAGTCTCAAAAATATTAAAAGAGAATGACTTACAACAATACATGTTGGTACTTCACGAAGAGAATATTCTGCTTTATTAGGAAGATCTTTGTTGCCAACCAATTCATACACAGCAGGATAGGATAGCAAGCTCACTAGTGCTAAAAAAGACTAGGGAAAAAGAAAAGAATCATTTAAACCATTTACATCCACAGAATAGTTACATAATAAAGTTTTATAGCTGTATGAGTGTGATAGCAATTTTGAAAATAACTACTCCATATAAATGTGAAATGCCTACACAAATGGTAAGCACAAAAGAATTAACAGAAACAACAGCCTGCACGCGTTATAACTGATGCACAACATATGAGTTGTGAGAATATTTAAGTGTCACTTCTCTTGATTAGCTTATATCTGCTCCAAAAAATGTAGTTATCCATCATTCTTGCTTTAAATTTTATACTTAATATCTAACAAAACACAAGAGATCAATACTTAGAAATCCTAAGGTAAGGTAATAAGTTCTTTTCCTGGCTATTTTTTTTTGTTTTACTATTTCTTTTCAATTTCATATTCTATAATACAGATTTAGAAGCATAGTGACCTCGCTGCCAACCACTCCTCCCTCACTTTGTCTTCCTGTCCTTCTTATTTTTTCTGCTCAAGTTTACAATGACACACTTTCAGTTTACTATTTTACATTCACAAGCTTAATCCTTCATTAAGTACATAATTCAACATACAGTATAAAGGGGGAAAAACATTACTTCTCATGAGTATAGATAAGGACTGTAAACAATAATCAAATCTCAAAACGCAATTTTATTCATATGCATTAAATTTTTTCTGTGCTCTGCATATTAGTTACCACAAAAACCTGAAAACCAATCTACCATATATCCCAACAATTCCAGTCCTGGGAATTGACCCAAACAAAATAAAATCAGCATATTGCAGCTCAATTCACAATAACTAAAAAAAGAAATTAGGGCTGGCACCAGCATTCCATGAGTTCTGGTTTGTGTTCTGGCTCCTCTAATTCTGATCCATAAGCTCCCTGCTCACGGGGTGGGAAAGTTCCTGCACCTCTGTACCCAGGTGGGATTCCTGGAGGAAGCTCCCAATGGCTGTCTTCAGACGAGATCAGCACTGGCCATTTAGGTCATTTAGGAGTGAACTGGCAGATGGACGGTCTCTGTCTCTCCTTCTCTTAGTAGCTCTGCCTTTCAGAAATATATAAATAAATATTTTCGAAAAAGATTTTGAATCAATTCAGACATCCATTTGATTTTTGGATTTAAAAAAATGTGTTATATAGGGCCCGGAGTGATAATGTACTAGTTAAGGTCCTCAACTTGAATGCCTGTGATCCCATATGGGCGCCAGTTCTAATCCCAGCTGCTCCACTCCCCATCCAGCTCCCTGCTGGTGGCCCGGGAAAGCAGTCGAAGACGGCCCAAAGCCTTGGGACCCTGCACCCATGTGGGAGACCAGGAAGAGGTTCCTGGTTCCCAGCTTCAGACCAGCGCAGCTCCGGCCGTTGCAGTCACTTGGGGAGTAAATTATCAGATGGAAGATCTTCCTCTCTGTCTTTCCTCCTCTCTGTATATCTGGCTTTGTAATAAAAATAAATAAATCTTTAAAAAATGTGTTATATAAATACCACTCAGTCATAAAAAGAATAAAACCCTTTATTTTTTTTTAAAGATAATGAGGCAATTGGAAACCATTAAGCTTAGTGAAGTAAGACAAAATAGCAAATATGTTTTCCTGGATTCCTGGATTCATGGCAACTACATATTCTCACCCTCAGACTACAAGACTATCTTTTAATAAAATTCAATGGAAATCAGACTAGACATATGGTTAATATTTAAAAGTCATGACTTCTCCTTTCAAAATCATCTCTTTTTCTGCTGCAAACTCATCAAGTCAATCTTTCATTGGAAATGCAAAAGCAACTAGAATACACTTCTCAAGCACATTTTATTTTTTCACTTCCCTTGCTCAGAAGCATCCACTTGGTGATCCATCACTAAACATTACATCTGTACTTCCCAGTATGACTGTCAAGGCTTTTATCAAGACCTTTTGTATTATTATTAATTATGTTGCATTATGTGACACAGTTTCATAGGCTCCGGGATTCCCCCAACCCCTCCAAAAAGCCCTTCATCCATGGTAGATTCCTCCAACTTGTTGCAGTATTACAGTTCAAATCCAGTATCAAGACCTTTCTTAAGTTTCATTTCCCATTATTCCCTAGTATTAAGTCACCATCTCAATCAACAAAAATCAGCTCATAGTAATTTGCTTATTTACAGATGTTAGTCTCTGCTTAGTCATGTAAAAAGAAAATTCACGAGCCTCAGAAAATCTGAGAATCACATTGAGAATTTTCACTACAAACAAATAAAAAGAAATCTGAAGCAAAGACTATTTAATTCAAACTCTCAATAATAGATGACACAATATGAGATCCAAATAAATGAATCAGCTTGGCCAAAAATGCACTCAAAAATATACTAGCATAATGAATCTGTTTTGCATTCCCAGGGTATCATAACTGATTACAAAGAGTGATATTCACTTACCATTTAATAATGTCAGATTGTTTCTGAATCATTGTTTAAGTACCAGAAAGTAGAACACACTTCATATTTTATCTCTTAAAAATGTAATGTTACTTAACAAACCATACTGATTATATAATGAATAAATTCATTATATTGTGTTTTTTTATTTAGTGTACTGTGTTTTTAACAAATGCTATTTTCTCTATTACAAATTCATTATAGTTCGTAAAGTGTATGTATTCCCATCAAACACTGCACAAAAAGAAATTTATAACCACTTGTAAGAATAAAAATTATCCATAATATAAAGCAAATATCTGCTAAGATATCAATAATGATCATAGCTGTCACTTATTCAATGCCTAGTTAAAGAAAACACTAGATGAGAAGTACGCACTACTGATAAGGAAGAAAGATGCTGATTAACATAGGAAAAACTGTTTGGCAACTATGTATGTTAATTACATACATACCAAAAAACCTGCAAGAAAGCTAGAGTGCTCATTGCCACCTAGGAATTCAGGGCACTCACATACTCATTAGTGTGTACTGAGTAGAAAGATTAATAAAATCAGATGTCATCATACATTTTAAGTCAGTTTGTCATGAGACCGCAGACAAAATTTAAAAAGCTAAAAACTGCTTTATGATTTGTATATGTGAAAATATCAGAATGTACTTAATACTAACCCACAAATATTTAGATATATTCATACATCTTTTCTTCAGTTTTCAGTCTTTTCCGTTATAACCATGACACAATATTCAAAAAATTTACTTCTAATTAAAATTTTTCTAATATATCATGTTTAGAAATCATATACATTAAAATCACATAACTAAGTTTGGGATTATTTGCATATAATAATTGATTTGATTTCTGGAGTATCATTTATCCTAAAAGGACAAAACAACTTAGACCACATATATCATGGTAAATTCTAGTAATCTAGTTTAAATAAATTAGATTAGGTGAAAAAATGTTTTATAATTAAACTGAAAAAAGTAATTTGAGTCCAGCACGGTAGCCTAGTGCCTAAAATCCTTGCCTTGGACATGCACTGGGATCCCATATGGGCACTGGTTCTAATCCCAGCAGCCCCACTTCCCATTCATCCCCCTGCTTGTGGCCTGAGACAGAAGCCAAGGAAAAAAAAAGGAAAGAAAGAAGCCAAGAATGGTCCAAAGCCTTGGGACCAAGCACCCACATGGGAGACCCGGAACAGGCTCTGGGCTCCTGGCTTTGAATTGGCAAGCTTTGACAACTGCAGCTGCTTAAGGAGTGAACTGAGGGATGGAAGATCTTCCTTTCAGTCTCTCCTCCTCTCTGACTTTCCAACAAAAATAAATAAATCTTAAAAAAAAAACACACTTTTTTTTTCTATTTTCTATTTGTTTTGTTCTTTACAAAATGGAAGGTAAAGTTTGTAATTCTGAAAGGAACGAAAAGTATGTCATTGTAAACATTAGCAAAGGAAGAAGGAGGGCAGAAACAGCACAAGTGGGAGAGATGTTAGAATGGGAACTACCACTACGCTCCTAAATCTATTGTAAAATGCATGACATCCATTCATGTTACGTAAGTAAAGCAATAATAAAAATTATTTCAGTAGCTTGCTTATAGAACAATCTATTTCTCACACACTGGGTCTTATCAAAGACGAGAATACTGCAAAGCTATGATGTGTAAAGCATTTCTGAAACTGAGAATATTTGCAAAGCAATCACGGTTCCACAAAACACAGTATAAGATGTTGATGACATCATATATTAAATATCCTAAAATACACTGCATGCAAATCCTAAATCTACTCCATGAATGTTTTGAAGGGAAGAATGAGGTACTGTGCAATAGAGATAAAGAAATTAATGGACAAATATTTCATCCTTTAAAAATGTAAGAAATAATTATGTAAAGCCCCAAACTTTTCTTCTGTATTAAAATTCCTACATTATCACTATGATTATGTCTTCATTCCTTTAGCCACCCAAACTAAAAATTTTAATACCAGTTTCTTTTCAATGACTATAATTATGTATTCACTCATTTATCTACCCAAACTATTTCAATACCAGTTTCTTATCAGTTGTGTCAACAACCAATAAAAATGTGAATAAAGAAATTATTCCCACTTTTGACAATCCATACTAATTTTGGACAGATATGCTATGATATGATTTCAAGAAGTGCCCTGAATAACTTATGCTGTGCATTACGGAGAAAGATGGAGAGACATCATGAGGAGGACACTGTCTAGCAAAGTAAGGAAAGGTGAGAAATGAAGTTGAGGCTGGCCAGCAGGTTAATGAGCTCAGCCTCCATCCTCCACTAAAACAAAGGTGCCCGGGCCTGGCGCGATGGCGCAGAGGTTGGGGTCCTCGCCTTGCACGCCCAGGATACCATATGGGCGCCGGTTCTATCCCTGGCAGCCCCGCTTCCCTTCCAGCTCCCTACTTGTAGCCCGGGAAGGCAGTTGAGGACGGCCCAAAGCTTTGGGACCCTGCATCCGCGTGGGAGACCTGGAAGAGTCTCCTGGCTTCGGATGCGCACAGTATAGGCCGTTGCGCTCACTTGGGGAGTGAATCATCGGACGGAAGATCTTCCTCTCTGTCTCTCCTCTCTGTATATCTGCCTTTCCAATAAAAAAAATAATAATAAATAATAAATCTTTAAAAATAAAATAAAATAAAATATATCTTAAAAAATAAATAAATAAAAATAAATAAATAAATAAAACAAAGGTGCCCAACAAAGTATTTTGGGAGAGTAGTGGGAATTATATTTCATATTTTCAGAAGAATGCTCCAAAATAAAAGGGTTTTGAAAGTAGATAATACCAGGGGCAAAAACAACATATTTGGACTTGAATTGTTTTCTTTTTTAAAGATTGACTCATTACTTTAAAGGCAGAACAACCCCAGCTTTAGGTAACTGCCTAGGCTGCCTTGTCCTTAAGCAAGTGTTACACTGTTGGAAGAAGCAGTCAATAGCTGGCAGGCATTCTGGCTCTGTTTCATGTCAAATTTGTATAAATGATACCAGTGCGCCAGCATAATCAGCATAATTACCTATTTTATTTCATACACACACACACACACACACACACACACACACACAGGTGGACCCCGCTAGAAGATGACTCTGGGGCCCATATTGGTTGTTTGTCCCAAAGAAAGGGATGTGGGGATATGTTCAGGTGGCAGCCACCAATGGAGTACTTTACAAGTATAGAGTGATTTCTGGGAGTTTCCATGAAAGGGATCACTACACTTGCAGGTAAACAAGGAAGTTGAAACCAGGTAGTTTAGAGAGGAGAAACTGGAGGGCATATCAGACCTACACACCCACTCTCATGGGAGACCCAGGCTGAGTCAGGTGACACAGCTCACTGTCCACCAGCATAAATGAAAGCTAGGGCTGTGAGGCCTGCCTGGCAGTGCTAGGCTACAGTGCCTGCTAACGAGTACTGAGGCACAAGGGTCACACAAGGCTGGGATATGACATCAACCATCAAGTGAGAAAACCAGGTCTGAGGGCAGATTTTGTAGAGGATATATGGGCTCATCCCTGTCTGCTTGCAGTATCCATTGGTTTGCATGAGAGCTGAGGGTAGTGACAGGCCACACTAGACATAACCACTTAACTCATTAACACTCATGGGAACTAGGTTAGGAGCAAGCTGGGCTGGCCTAAGCTGTAGCACCCATGGCTACATGTAAGAATTGGGCCCACAGGCAGGCTAGGCCCTAGCACCCACCACTGAATTAGGAATAGGGGCAGGCAAGTCCAGGCTAGGCTACAGTATCCAATGGCAAGTGCTGAGACTCCCAGTAGACCATGTCAGGCTGGGGAGTACCACCAACATACACAACACCTGAGGTGGGAGCAAGCCCGGCAGAGGAATTAAGGGGACTTGTCTGGAAGGCTGCAGTTCCCATTGTTGAGTATAAGAGCTAGGGCTGGGGAAGATCAGGCTGAACACAGCTGCAGCACCCACCCCCAACCCACCCTTGGCATGCATGTAGGCTGTACCAGGAGGCTAGCTGGGCTGAACTAGGCCCCAACACTCGCTTGCACAAGAGAGAGAAAGAGTGCAGAACAGGCTGGGCTAAATGTAGTATCCACCAGTCTACCTGAGAGCATGATCTGGAGGTGGGCCAGATGGGATTGGGCTGTATCACCAACTGGTTAGAGCTGGAATGGGCCTGGTATGGTTGAGGAAGGCTGCGGTACCTGCCGATGAATGCTGGGACTGGAGGTGGGTCATGGCAGCCTGGGCTGATCTCCCACCAGCATGAACGAAATCCAGGGCTATGGGCTGATCAGATAGGGGATCTTGGGGAACTCCAATATTAGGCTGCAGCTCCCACTGCTGAGCATGAGAACTGTGACTGGGAGCAGTTCAGGCTAGGCCAGCCTACATTACCCACTGCAATACATGTGGGATGGGTCTGGGGGAAGGCTGAGCTAGGCAGTCTGTAGCACCCATTGGTAGCTGCCAGAGAGAGAACAGGGTATGGGCCAAGCCAGACTGAGCCACAATACCCACCAGTTAACATGAGGGCTGGGACTGTGGGCTGCTCATTCTGGGCTATGCAGTAATATCATCAGAGCCAAGCTTTAGCACCTACCAGTGAATGCCAAGACAAGATGTGCCATGCCAGACTGGGCCACAACACTGATCAGCATGTGTAAAACTCTGGATTAGGGGCACCCCTAGTAGGGGGACTTCAGAGATTTCCCAATTAAACCACTGCTCCCACTGAGAGCAGGAAAGTCCTAGTACTAGGGGCAGACCAGGATGTGCAGTGCTACAATACGTGTTGGCCCACATGTATGCTAGGTTGGGGGGCAGCCAGGATAAGCTAAATCATGGCATCCACTGGCACATGCAGCATCCATCAGCAAATGCCAGGACTAGGTGCAAGTCATGTCAGGCTGGACTGCAGTACTCCCTGGCAAGTGTAAAATCCAGGCCTGGGAGCAGGCCTAGTGGGGAACCATGGGCAGGCCTCCGAGATGCTGCTCCTGCCAGTGAATATGAGAGCCAAGGCTAGAGGCAGGCAAGAAATAGTCCCTTTCCCCTCCCCAATCTACATCACTACAGACCCAAGAGAAAAGGAAAAAAGGAAAAAAAGTTGGAAACATTTGTTCTACCCTCCTTCCTCCATACCTTGGCCCTTCCCATCCTAATCCGTAACCCACATGGGAATATATCCTTCTCAACCACAAAAGAACAACATTAAAAATGAAATTACATTTTTTTAAAAGAAGGTCAAACAGTAGAGAAAGAGGCACATCTCTAGGGCTTGCACGATTTACAAATATCTACTGTAGCAGATATATTAAAACTATATCCAAACAGAATAATCAGAAAGCTGTTTCATGGGGCTGGTGCCATGCACTGAAGTTTAAGGGCTACCCACAAAGACAGTGTTCATTGTATAAGTGCCAGTTCGAGTCCTAGCTGTTCCACCTCCAATTCAGTTCCCTTTGATGCAGCTAAGAAAGCATCAGAAAGTGGACAAAGTGCTTGGTTCATCTGGATGGAATTCTGATTCACAGCTTTTGATGGCTAACTGTGGCTATTACAACCATTTAAGAAGTGCACCAGACAATGGAAAAGCTCTTTCACTCTGACATTCATATAAATAAAGCAAATCCTTAAAAAAAAAAGAAAAAAAAAAAAGAAATACTATGCAAGGTGTTCATGGTAGTTTCAGAAAATGACTAGAAAAATCCTTCAAAATAGTGTGCATGAAGCATGAGGGTACTTATAAATATTTGTAGAAAATGGAATTAGGGGTTAGCACTGTGGCACAAGTCAAGTAACTGCCTCCAATGCAGCATCACATATGGGCACTGATTCGAGTCCTTCTGCACCACTTCTGATCAAGCTCCCTGTTAACGTGCCATGAAAGCAGCAGATACTTCAAGTATTTGGGCTCCTGCACCCAGGTGGGAGACATGAAGAAGCTCCTGACTTCTGGCTTTGGACCAACCGAGCTCTGGCTATTGTGGCCTTTAGGAAGTGAACCAGCACCTCTTTCTCTCTCTCTCACTCTGTAACTCTTTCAAATTTATATTTATATTAATTAATTGATTGATTAATTTTAATGGAACTTAGGATAAATACATTTTAGTAAGAAAAATTAAAAATCAGTTTTTTTATAGCAACTATCTAGCATCTAAGAAATAACTTTATATTTTATATCTGAAAGGCTGAGTTAGAGATGAGGAGAGACAAGCGAGATGTTCCATCCTCTGGTTCACTCCCCAAACAGCCAGAATGGACAAAGCTGGGCTGGTCTGAAGCCAGGAACCCAGAGCTTCATCCAGGTCTCCCACATGGCACAGAGGCCAAAGGACGTGAGCCAGCCACCACTGATTCCACAGCCATCAAGCAGGGAGCTGGACTGAAGTAGAACAGGCAAGACACTAACTGGCATCCAAATGAGATGCCTACACTGCAGGCAATGGCTTTACTTGCTGCACCACCACACTGGCCTCAAGAAAAACCTCTGAAATTATAGTTTTTATTTTTGAAGTTTTTAAAAACAAATGTATGATCTCATTTATGTGAAAATTATCCAGACTGTAACAGAACCAAAGTCTAAAGAAGTTTAAAGAACTATTAAACATAAAAAGTAACAGAATCATAATAATATTATGTGGGAAAAAAACCTTGAATGTTTTGTATTTGTTGTTTGGTTTTTGTTTATTTTAGGAACTTTTTTGTAACATGCATGGTGTGTTATTACTCTTTATTAAGGGAAAAGAATTCTAATAAAAGATGCAAAAATCATGTTTGTGAAACATTATTCCCAAGGAACTGTTTCTGTTGCTCACTAAATTCACTTTCAAAACTGAAAAAAAGAGGGGAAAAAAGCATAGGAAACACTGTTATTGTTGAATATCATGATAAACTCTGAATAAAGTCATTACTATGAGATACATTTAAATCTGTATCTTATTTGTTACATCAAATAACTGCTTACCTTTTGACAGCTTCGGTCAATAGGATCCACTGGAGTAGACCTGGGATGGGTTAATCTAATGTCATCTCTTCCACATTCCAGACTGGACCATAATTCAGTTATAAGTGCATTAATAAACCCTAGAAAGAATTCTTTTATATTATAACTGCAGTAGTTTTTGGACTATGGAGGAAACAGATGATTACTCCTCTGTTAAATCCGCTCTGCTCTGACAGAAGACATGACATGTCACTCTTCTAAAACAGATCAACTCTACCCCTCATATAAACAGTATCTGCTGGGAGCCAAGGGGTGGCTATCCTTCTATTGGTGCAACTCAAGTCCTGCTGTTCCACTTTCTAACCCAGCTCCCTACTTATCAACTGGGAAAGCCGTAGAGAATGGCTTAATTCCTTGGGACCTGTAGCCAAATGAGAGACCCAGAAAAATTCCTGGCTCCTGGTTTTAGATCAGTTCAGCTCTGGCCATTGTAGCCATTTGGGGAGCGAATCAGTGGACAGAACATCTGTGTGTGTGTGTGTGTGTTTATGTGTGTGTGTCTAACTTTGACTTTCAACTTAAAAATAAATTTTAATAAAAGATATCTTCTCTTGCTGACAAATGTTGTCATATATCCTTATCACAAAACTTTGCAATGATTACTTCTTAAATTTTAATTGACACCCTAATTTACAGTATTTATGGGATACAGTATAACATCTCAATACATGTATGTAATGTAAAACGCTCAGATCTAGCTAACAGGATCTTCTACCACATCAGAGAACAACTCTTCCTCATGTGTGCAACTTCCTCTTTATAAACCATGCTTAAATATCCAATTAATTATTGGCTGAGATGCTATTTCTCTATAGGAATGCTAACTTTCCTATCTTTGCTGTTACCCTTTTGACAACAACATCTCTGAGCATGTTCTTCTTGAAAATAATAAACATTACAATTTGCAAATGAGCCATCAGGGAAGGGAAGCCTACAAGATTATGTTTTTATCAGAGAGGAGAGAAATGCAGCAGCATGGGCATCCCAAGATTGTAAGTCTGCTTCTTTACACAATACCACTACTTTTCATTAACACTAAATGCTTAGAAAAATTTCTTCAATTCATAAAACTTTTGCCTTATTGTCTTTAAATTCTCATTAGTCAGATACAACACAACTAAATGAAAATGAGTCTTGAACCAGATTATTAAATTGTCTGTGAAAAACCATATGAAACAGTGCAAAAACATCACATCTAATCATAAAGTCAGTAAATTCATACTAGCAATATTAAAGCAGAAAGGATATTTTAGCATAACAGAAGATAGTATGAGCCTTAAGGACAAGAATATCAGTGTTCAAATACCAAATCTGCCAAATTATTAGTTGTATTTCCTAGGAAAATACCTGACTTCTTGGAGACCAGTTCTCAAAAACTGAATAATGTTACATTCTTGGATTGCCAACTTGTATATACAAGGAGTATATGTAATGTTACAATATAATAGCTGAGTTAACCAGCATGGGACTTCAAGCAGCAGCATTTCCCTCCTTTTTTCCTATAACATTTTGTATTTAATTCCTCTTACAAAACGTTTGATATGCAGAGCAGGCATGATGGCATAGCAAATTAATCCTCCACCTGTGGCCCACACATCCCATATGGGGCCCCAACTGCTCCACTTCTGGTCTAGCTCCCTACTTATGACATGGGAAGCAGTGGAGAACAGCCCAAGGCCTTAGGTCTCTGCACCCACATGGGGAGAGCCAGAGGAAGCTCCTGAGTCTTGGCTTTGGGTCAGCCCATCTCTGGAATTTGTGATCATCTGAAGAGTGAAATACAAGACAAAAAAAAAAAAAAAACAAATAAACCTTTAAAACAAACAAAAAAATGTTTGACACTATGCAAATAGAAAGCTTAACATGAGCAAGGGCAAAATTAGATATTAAAAAGTTTCCAAATGCACAAACTAGTATGCCTCTGAATACTGTACTATATGGCTTTCACTTTAAAGAGAAGAAAACACAAGTGATTCATTTTAGGTGATTTCTTTTGCCAAGAAATGTACTTGGTAATTGATATAACTAAAATCACTTCATCCAAATATTAAACTTAAAATAAACTATATGAAAATATTTCCAATTAAGGAAAAAAACAAAAATCAAAAGTGATGTTATTTACCAACACTAATCTTTGGAAAATATAATCAGTATTTACATTATAGATTGTTCTCCTTAAGGACTGTAAACATTGCCATATAACATTAAATTCCCAATATTATAACTTCTTAGAAATCCAGTAACTCAGGGACCAACCACTGACTGCAGGCTTCAGAGATAATGTGAAGTCAAATCAATGAGAGAAAGAAAGAGAATAAGAAATAATAAATGGGGTGATGTAAATATAACTGTGCTGAGTGCAAATTTTATCGCCACTGAAAGTAAACATTGGACAAATGTATCAGAGATGATTGTACTGAAAGAGGATAATATCATTCTGGCTTATAAGATGGAAGAGGATTTCTTTTTTTCCCCCCTTAACACAATTCGTTCGTATGCATGGATTGCATTCTGAGAAAAACAACTGCAGGATCTTCCTTCTGGAATCTTTTCATCTAGTCTCTTCATTATCAACATGCCAGCCGAGGTTGTCAGTACCACAAAACCAAAGTGATGTGATAAGAACAGATTATACTTTCATTCTACTTTGAATTACACATTATTTCTAGAACTCATCTTTCCATACTTGCTTAACTTGCCTGTAAGCTTCACAATTTTCCCAGTTCCGTGGTCACCAATGATTTTAAATTATCAGTGTAACCACACTTCATTATTACAGCTAGAAACCTGGAAACCAGATGATGACTTTGGAGCATTTCCAACGTAAGAACCTGTTGTGTGCCTCTACGTAAAAGCTAGAATATTCATGTGTGCTATTAAGGAAGCCCAGGGTAAAAGAGAGAGAGTGAGAGAGACAGCACACACTAATGAAGGATTCCCTTTTTTTAAGATTTATTGTATTTTTATTGTAAAGATTCTTAAAACATTAAAAACATTTAAGTTGGTTCCTTATGTGCCATTATGCTGAGGAATAGAAATGGGTTGTTTAAATTACTTAACAAATAAACAAACATTCCAGTGGAAATTCATGGGGAAAAAAAAAAACACTCAAAAGAATCCATGTGACTTTTTAATATAAGACCTGACTTGGAGAAAAGAATAAATATTTATTCTGGGTATATATTCCAATAATTCATTGGGCAAATTATTTTTTGCTATCTTGATAATATGTTAAATTATAAGCAAAGAAATCTAATAGCAAGCAAGTACTTTGGTGTTAAAAATGCACATGTTCTACATAGGAGCTCCTGGGGTCATCTCCCAGGTCTAGCTACTCACTCCGGGTTCTCGCTGATGCAATCCCAGGAGGTAACAGTGATGACTGAGGTAACCGAGTTCCTGTCAACTACATGGGAGATGTGGACAGAGTTCCTGCCGCCTGGCTCCAGCTCTTAGCATGCTTCAGACACAGCGGACATTTGGAGAATGAACCTGCAGATAGGACTCTTATTCTTTCTTCCTCACCAATAAATAAACTTTAAAGAAAATTCTTTACCTGAATTTTGCAGCGCTACTGCACCTGTTGCTGTTGATGCCACTTGTGTAACCAAAACTCCATAGTCAAATCTTTCATGCCTGTTGATCTAACAACACAGAGGAAAAAAAGTGAGATGAAAATATACCATTCTAATATGTCGTATGGTATATGTAGCATTATTGGGACTTTAAATGCTTACACTATTGGCCTGGCATGGTAGCTCAGTGGCTAAAGTCCTTGCCTTACATGTGCTAAGATACCATATGGGTTATGATTCTAATCCCAGCTGCTCTACTTCTCATCCAGCTCCCTGCTTGTGACCTGAAAAAGCAGTATAAGATGGACCAAAGCCTTGGGATCCTGCCCCATGTGGGAGACCTAGAGGAAGCTCCAGACTCGTGGCTTCAGATGGGTTCAGCTCCAGCTGTTGAGGCCACTTGGGGAGTGAACCAGCAGACAGAAGATCTTTCTCTGTCTCTCCTTTTTCTGTAAATCTTTCTTTAAAAACAAAATCTTACAAAAAATGCTTAAACTACACAAACCTTTAAGACAAAAACAGCAGCAAAAAGAAACGTTACAATCAATGAGTCTGTGCTATCTTATTTCAAATCTTAGTTCTGATTATAGATCTCAAACTAAACAGCAAAGTCACTAGCCTAATAAATAAACAACTCACATTAGATAAAGAAACGATCATTTCCCACTCTAAATTCTACTATTCACTGTTACTTATTAGGTGGCTCCTTATTAAAAAAAAAATCTTAGCAATAAATGTGCGTTTTGTGTGATAGCTTCCTAATTTAATTCTCAGGTAATCAAACAACCATACATACAAAAATGGGTTCTCCTTTAAAAGGACAACAACTTTTAGGGGCAATATAATCCTAATAAAGGGTATTAGGAATAAAGACACATCCACATACACAATCAGAAGCCTTATCATCAATATTCCGAACTGCAGAAATTCTTAAAAATTGCATATGTACCAACACACACACACACACTCAGAGTAAAACACAAAATATACCTCAGCATAAAATAGATAACAAAATAAATAAAGACACTGCAACATATTCCTTCTATTCAGATTTTGGCTAAATGTGTGTGTCTTATAAATAGAGCTAACAATTTTAAAACTATATTCTAAATATGTTTCCTTTAAAGCATCTGCTTTAATCTCAATTTTTTTCTAGTATAAACTACACACACAGATTTTTTGGTTAAAAAAGGGGGGGTTACTAAAAGGTCCTGGAATAAAGGTTTATTTCTCTAATTGTTTGATGCGCCTATCTTTAAGAATTTACTGCATCTTTTATTTTGTTATGAGCCATATTTTCCATTTGCCTTAATATATGACACTTCGTTCTGAAGCAAGACGGCACAAAAGTACAGCAAGATAAGTGTCTATTCTCTTTACTTGCTTCCTCTTCAACAGAAGAAAAAATACCTTACTTATCAATCACTCCCACTGGTCCTGCTGATTCAGATATTAGTTGGCACAAGGGCTTCCCAAACTCATATGAACTACTAAACCGAAAGAAGCAAAGTTTAACTTAGCAGGATTTAGTCTTTTGGACACTGTTAAAGGCAAGAAATATGAACTCCAAGTTCCAGTCCTACTACAATCAGTAACCAGCTGGCTACTAAAACAGATTATTCAATTAATTTGGCTATTTGTGTTCTCTTGTGTAAACTGAAAGAAATTACCTAAACTGTGCGCTTTCTTACAAGATAATTGAGAATCAAAATAAAATGTCTTATAGTGTGACACTGAACCACTGTGATAATTATAATGAGGATGATGAAAAACTAAACTACAAGGTTATAAATTGTTAGGGTCCAGGGAACAGTACGTTCTGTGATAAGCACAAAAGAAAACCAGGTCGCCTTGAAATTAACGAACATAAATAAAATCTCATTCTGGGTAAAGTATCTGTACAGCAAAAATGTCTGCAGCTATCTGAAAAAGAAAAATATATATAGATTGCCTGACTGCTTTCAAATATGTAAAAACAAAAAAATACCTAAATAGTTCATAGTATACAAGGAAAAACGCAAATTTATCACAGAATTATTCAAGTTAAACTAAAGTTATGTCAACTTAAAATGCCTGGGACTCATACATGTCTAGGGATATGACATGCAATAAACATACTGGGACTGTAAGATGTAGGCAGTGTAAAATAGAATCAGGAGTCATGATTGAAAATAGAATAGAATACATAAAACAAAAGAAAACTTTTCATATACGGATTAGCGTGACATGCCATTAACTGAACCAGAGAAATAACAAATTTCTCTATACTTTATTTATTAAACTAAAACAAAATTAAAACATACATACAAGTGAACTTAAAACAGTGTATGGAGGGGCAGGCAATGGGTGGAGTGGTTTGGTGCAATGGTCAGGCAGAAAAAATAAAAAAAGTTCATGGAAAATGGTATCAAATAATATTTATTCTTAATGGACTAATTTTGAAATTTTATATATGCCTATCTATACAAATCAGATTAATATCATAAGCTTCTAAGTGAATATTGAAGTTTTTAATTATTTTTAAGACTGCCAGGGCCCTAAGTCAGGAACTGATTATTATTCAAATGCAAAGACAACCAAAACAGATTAATTATTTGTGTTTTTAAGAATAAAATAAATTAGAATTGAAAGCAAGAGGGGAAAAAAAACAGTTCTTATAACCATGGACACAAAGACAAGAAAAGAAAAAACACTCTCTAAAGATATCTGAGATCTTTAAAAAGTCAGACAGAAAAGCTGAATACAATTCAAGGTCTCTGAATGAATAAAGCTCGGTGATACTGCAAGTTTCATTTGACGGCAGAATCAAACACCTCTACAAGCTTACTTATGTATTTAATATGAGGCCTGAATCTTCATGAAATATGCATAGAAGCTAATACAATTTTCTACTACAGAAGTTCCTCCTGGAGGCAAGCCATCCAGATGTTTTATATTGCACTCATAAAACATCTGGATGATCAACTGAATTTTTTAATTCCATCTGGTCCCTTGCAATTCTGTGAACACAGAACCCAACACCAATACTCTGCTTTTCTATCAAAAAAAAAAAAATCAAGTTAAATATTCCAATGCTCTATGGCTTTTTAATTAAGATTTAATAACCCTTTCATGCAAAAAAAACACAGAATACTTTTCTCAATGGCTGTTATGAAAACAAAAATGCCTCTTGCCTTTGACAGATGGAAATTCATACCTGTAAATTTTTTGCATACTGGTTGAACATAAATGTCACACATTCATTGATGGCACCTGTTCTCTGAAGAAGAAGTAATCCTTTGGGAGTGGCAGCAAAATTTAGTAAGTCATCTAACAAATTCTCTTCCCAAACCATACTGAAACACATAAAAGAAGTGTAGGGTTTTAGTTAATATAGTCAAAAATGAAAAGAAAATATTTCAACTTAATGGTGACAATTTATTAAATCTATCATAGGTTAGTTGCAAATGACTGAAAAAAATATTTCCAGATAACATTAAGAAGCACTTCTTTGGAAGCAAATTTGCTTCTTCTTTTATTTTTACACTGATCATTTTTTTTTTTTTTACTGAATGAACCAAATATTAACTGCAGATGTAAGAATTTTATTATCCCTAGGTTCTCTTGTCTATGTCTTAATCTCATTGTATTTTTTCCTATTATAATTCTACTGTACTTAGCATCACACTGAGTCATTAATTATACTTCTAAAGAATATTGTATACATCATCAGTTTAAATAGATTTCTAATCTAATTTATACTATTTCTAACAAGCAACATCATTTTTTCACAACACTTCAACAAGGAAGGCCAATCACTTTTTTCCAGTGAAAAACTAAACAAGAGCTCCAAGAAAAAAAAGAGTATAAACAATATTTTAAAGCACTATCCTGCCTGCTGGCTGCATATGGTTGTGGCTGGTGGGACTGAGGATAGCCTAGGCTTCTGACCCTGGATTTCCACACTAGCAGCTCCCTAGAGGAAGCTGGTAGGATCTTGGGTTGGGTAGCCAGGGCAACAATGGTGCCAGGTGAAGCCTTTAGGCTGCCCAGCAGCAAGCTAGAGGCTTAGTGGTTTGGGTCTATAAGGGGTCTGCTGGATGGCATAGGTGGAGACATGCAGGAACCACAGGGTTCATGACCAGGCAAGAAATTACTTCCCTGGAACTTCCATGGACTTTGCCACTGTCCTAAAATGTAAGCAAAGGTACTGAGACTGAGTTATTTGGAGCAGGGAATTAGGAGGACCTTCAAGGGTCACACCAAAGTACCTTCTCACCTGGAAGGTCTGAGCTAGGGTAGTTAGCATTGACCATCACTGAGTACCACTCACAGGCACACAATAAGGCTGGGTTGAGAGCCTTCCTGCCAGGGCAGGATCAAGGTGCCCACCAGTAAGGGTAGAAATAGAAAATAGGGAATGTGTGGTTAGGTCATGACACTGACCAGCATGTGACTGAATCAAGATTGGAGGCAGAATTTTAGGGGTGTATAGGTACTCATTCTGTGGAACAACAATCTCCAATGTGCAAGAGCTGTGAATGCGAACAGGCCTGACTGGAGAGCTAAGGGGATGCCAGCTGGGTTGGGGTTTCCACTGGTGAGCACAAGAGTCAGAAAGGGAGCAGTAGTCTAGGCTGTATATGACTACAGTCTCTCTCAACACGGGTGTGGACTAAGTCTGGAAGCACCAGACTGGGCTAGACTCCAGAACCCACTGGTACTCGTGAGAGTCAGGATGGGTATAGAACAGACTGGGCTAGGTCTCAGCTCCCACTGAACAATGTGAGACCCGTGTTCCAGTGTGGACTAGGTGTGGATAGGCTGTAGCATCCAACAGTAAGAACTACAATGGATATGGTGGGGAATGAAACATCGGACGGAAGATCTTCCTCTCTGTCTCTCCTCCTCTCTGTATATCTACCTTTCCAACAAAAATAAATAAATCTTTAGAATGGGTATGGGCTGGTTGGGCAAGGCCACCATTCCTGCCAGGACAAGAGGTACACACTAAGTCAACCTGGGCCAATGACCCCCCAGTATGTGTAACATCTGCCACTGGGAGGAGAGCTGAAAGAGGTGTTTGAGAAAATCCTTTCACATAATGAAGTCCCTGCAGATGAGCTCAAGAATTAAGGCAAGGAGCAGCCCAAACCAGGCCAAATTAGTTCCCACTGGAATATATGTGGATCAGGTCTGGGGGTATGCCAGGTTGGGCCAGTTCATAACATCCACTGGCAGGTCTGAAAACCTGACAGGGTGCAGGAAGGTGTCACATTAGGCCATAACAACAGCTAGTTCACATCATGGCTGAAACTGAAGACTGCTTAGGCCTGGCTTGGCTTTAGCCCCCACCATAATGAGCTGAAACTGGGGGCAGACTGGGCCAAGCAGGCTACAGCACCCACTGATGAATATCAAAGTGAGGTGAGCCATGCCAGTCAGGAGTAGGTGGGTGCTAAATGCCTGATACCTGGAGGCGGGGGATCCAGCAGGATAGGGGTCATCTGGACAAGATCCTTGTACTACTTGTGCAGTGGGTTCTGGGTGTGTGAGTCCCGGGATAGTAGATCCAGTAAGACCTGGGTTGCCCGGCCTAGGTTCTCAGCTTATCTATATGGTGGGTGCCAGGTCTGTGAGTCCTGGGGGTGGCAGGGTCCAGTAGAAGCCAGGTTACCTGGCCCATGTTCTTGGGCCCTACTCTGTGGTGAGTGCCTGGTCTACAAGCCCCAGGGGATGGGGATCTGGAGGGGTTCAGTTCACTGGGCTGGGGTCCTAGGTCTGCCCGTGCAGTGGGTGCGAAGTCCCTAAGTCCCGAGGTGTCAGAGCTCCTGTGGAGACTGGGTTGGGTCCTTGGCCCATCTGCGTGGTGGGCACTGGGTCTGTGAGTCCCAAGAATAGGTGTTCAGTGGGGACCAGGTTATATGGTCTAGGACCTTGGGCCCACATGCCACTGGGGGCCAGGCGTGTGAGCCCCTTGGATGTAGTGGGTCTGGTGGGACCCAGGTCAACTGGCTTGGGTCCTTGGCCCACCTGTAAAAACTGGTTCTCCTCAGTGGAAAAGATGGAGCAGTAGACAGCTTGCCCAGATACAAATGGAGGATATGGCAAACCATTAGGCCGTGCAGAAGACATCTGTGCCTTCCTAGCGGAAGGAAGACAGAACAATTGAACAACTACCCCAGTCAAATGGTGACAGTAAATATCCGGGAGAATGGAGACTCTGAGGTCGACTTTGTCAGTCAGTGGAAATTAAAAGGGTTCCTTCTTCCTTGGATTGGCAAGATTGACATTTCAGAATTATCAAAACCTCCTGGGCAGAACACTTGGATGTGTACCACATTGGGATCCTGGGTTGATATTGGGTTGCCATTCCCCATCTCCGGATACCGGGATACTTGGGAGGCTAGTATGGCTTCTCCCCTTTCCTTTCCCACCCCACCAATGAAACAGGAAGGGGAAATAGAAAACTTGGAAACAATGATCACACCCAATTTTCCATAACCCTTGATCCATTCCACTTTGATCAACTACGTTAACATCATCCAAAAAAAGCACTTTACTGCAGGAAATTACTGAGCATTTCCAAATTAATTTTTTTTTTTAATCGTGATTTCTTAGAACTAAACAGATCATTTTAACTTGAAGATTAAAAGTATCAAATAGAATCAAATAGTATCAAATAAAATAAATTTAAAACACAAATATAGCAAATATAGAAATATTTAAACTATTAAAGTAAAAATAAACATACAAAACAAAGATAATTAGACTGATCATGGGTTTATCATTATTACTATTACTATAATGAGGGCATCAAAGAGTAATGATGAGAAATGACTGCCTCTTAAAGATTAGTATTCAAATAAACTACCATTTAAGAATGAGGATGCGTGATCAAAATTTACCATCTTCAAATGATAATAATAAAAGATAATTATGTTTAAAATTTAAAGGCATGTTTGACTCAAAGGAAAGAAAATTAAACCTAAGTAGTGGCCCTCATACTTCACCAGAGTTTGAAATATGGCATGACTGTCGGCAGCAGTACCCAGCAGCACAAAGAAGATCCACTGCTGGGGACAAGTGTGGAAGGGGAATGTGAGGAACTCCCCTGCAAGGCCTCAGCTCCAATTGTGAATGTAAGAGCCTAAGCTGGGAGCAGGCTATATCAGCCTGGGTCTCAGCACCATTGGCATGTGTGTAAGTCAAGCCTGGGGGCAGACCAGGCAGAGCTCAATCACAATACACCATGAGTGACAGCCAGGACAATACGCAAATCAGGATGGGTTGGACCACAAAACTCACCAGTCCACTTGAGGGCAGGAGTTAGGCAAGGTTGGGCTAAGATGCTGAACCCACCAGTGACAGTTGTGGCAGGCTTGGCTGACCCAAGTGACAGAACCTTCTGGCAAATATCAAGATTGGGAATCAAGATGGCAGAATAGGGTAAGGGCAAGTTGAAATGGATGGAAAACGTTTAATCAGTATGAAGCAGAGAGGACATATTTCAGGAAAGAGGAAAGGACAGAACAACAGCAGAGGGGTACCTGGAGACTGACAGACACAGAAAAGCAGCAGACACAATGCTGTGGTGTTGCAGTGATTGATACTCCAGTGGCAATCAGCTAATGGTGATCTGAACTCCACCAGCAGCTGAAACTGCCAGCAAACAAGTGGGAAGGGACTTTCACCGGGAGCTTGGGAGGTGAACACAGACAAAAAACTGTCCATCTTGCTGGTCCGTTTGATTTGACCAGGAGTAGAAACAGAGCAGCAGATCCCGCATGGGCAGAGCGAGAACAGGGTGGATTTCATAGCCCATTCAGCCCCCTACAGCTCAATTGGATGCCATTTTACTTAAGAGGCAAAGGCAAGGGAAAGGACTGAGCATACACTGAGCCGGGAGTGAACTCATTTCTGACTCAGTGAACTGCAGCAACATAGCATTCTATGGGTTCCACCCAAGACAGGTCCAAGTAGCCCTCAGACCTGACAGCCAACAGATCAAGAACTCTACTAGTGGCGTGTCAGGTGCTATTTAGTACAGTGTGGCAAATGTTTTAGGACTGCAGGGGACAACAGTGAACTACGCCTGTGCTGAGCTCACGAGAACTCATTGAGTTCCATGACCCGGACCCGAGGAAAATAATACCGACTGTGGCATTGTATAGATCAAAATAGGTCCATGTGCCACCCAGATCTAACATCTAACAGGTTCCAGCAAGATTAGCACCACCAACAACCTAGATTTATAGGACACCTGCTGTCTCTCTAATCCTAGGACTTGCTCCAACAAGACATGAGAGAAAGGTTGCAGAGACAACAGTGCAGCCTTAGCACGGTATCACTGGAGGTGGAGACTGGTGAGCCAGCAGCTGGGACTACAGAGACCATGGTGGAAATCTGACAGAAGAACCCAGACCTGGAACTCGCTGGAATGAGTGGCACAAGTGGCTGCAAGCAAAGAGCTGGGTACCAACTGCAATAAGCAAAATCGAACTGTAGACCTGTGGGTGACACAGCTTAGAAACCTGCCCCAAGGAGAAGATTCTGATAACCAGAAGTACAATGACCAAGAGCTAAAGAAGACACGCAGGTAAAATGAATATCACTAAAGACTCCCCTGTAAAGGAGCAAAACCCTATGCCAACCTCAGAATTAACTGAGGAAGACATCGAGAAAATGAGGCACACAGAATCCATAAGACTCATTTAAAAGCTTCTGATCAACAATGAGAAGCTCATGCATGAGTTCAAAGAATTTAAGGAAGCAAGAAAGCAAATCAAGGCTGATCTATCAGAAATTAAGAACACAGTAGAGCAAATTACAAGTACAGTGGAGAGTCTCCAAAATACAATGAAACAAGCAGAAGAAAGAATCTCAAAATTGGAAAATATTTCCTGTCACCAGGGGGGAGAAGCAAACAAAAAGCTGGAAGCAGAGCTGAATCAGGCCAAAAAAAGTATTCGAGAATTGAAAGACAATATTAAGAGGTCAAATATGAGAGTTATGGGAGTTCCAGAAGGTGCAGAAAGAGAAGCTGCGATTGCAAATGTATCTAATGAAATAATAAATCAAAAACTTCCCTAATCTGAAGAAAGAATTGGGAAACAAGATCCAGGAGGGGCACAGAATTCCCAACAGCCCTGATCAAAACCAATCTTCACCATGACACATGATCATCAAGCTTTCTTCAATTGAACATAAGGAAAAGATCCTTAAATGTGCACATGAAAAGAAATCAATTGACATATAAAGGAATGCCAATTAAGATCACAGGAGATCTCTCACAGGAAAATCTACAGGCAAGAAGAGAATGGCGTGACATATTCCAGATTCTAAAAGAAAAAAAAATTATCAGCCCAGGATAACATATCCAGCAAAGCTTTCTTTTGTCTTTGAAAATGAAATAAAATTTTTCCACAATAAAGAAAAGCTAAAAGAATTTGCCTCTTCTAAATCTGCCCTATAAATGATACTTCAAGATGTTCTCTTGACAGAGAAGAAGAAGAGCACCTACCAAAACCAAAGCCAAACGGGAATAACATCCCAGTAAAATGATAACAGAAGACTAAACCAATGAACAACCCATTCCTAAAATGACAAGACCAAAGTACCACCCGTACATATTAAACTCTGAATGTAAATGGCTTAAGCTCAATCAAACGTCACAGATTAGGTAGACTGAATTAAAAAACAAAACCCATATGTATATTGTCTGGAGGAGACACACTTCACCAACAAAGATCAGCGGAAACTATATTGCATGAGTTTTGTTGTTTTCTGTTGGTTTCATCTCCTCAAAACACTTTCTGATTAAAACATTCAATGACTCGTAGAACATGCAGTGGCATCTTTTTCTTCAAGAAGGTTCTTGATTTTCATTTCTTCAGCTACACGTTAGTTATTTAGTGGCATGTTATTTAACTTCTTGGTGTTGTTAATTTCTTTTTTCTCCCTAATGTTGATTTTGTTTTGTGGCTCTTCATTTAATGAGATGTATAGTAGTTGTGTAATAGAGACTGTCATATCTAGTAACATGTCATTTAACTTCATGGCATTGTAAATTTCTATTTTTTCTTTCTATTGTTGATTTTGTATTATGACTTTTCATTTAAGAGGATGTAGAGTGGCTGTGAAATGGAGACTAACATCCAGATGTGAGGATGCAGTATAGTATGCATTTCTGCTTCCAGACAAAGATGGACTTAACAATTAAACTGTTTACTATATCTTGACAATAGAATTCTGTACTCTCTGACATTGTCCATGTCCACAATGATGGACATATAACTGAGTATGAAGAACTATATATTTTAGTAATGATACTGCGGGACTAGGTGGGGGGGAGGAACTTAGGGAGGGGATAAGGGAATATGGAATTATATCATAAAATGATAATAATAATAATAATAATAAAATGTAAAAAAAAAAAAGACAGCTATGGTTCATTTACTCCATGGAATACTACTCAGCTATTTAAAAAACATAATGCAGTTTTTTGTGGTCAAATGGCCCCAACTGGAAATCATTATGCTAAGGGAAATGCGCCAATCCCAAAAGGTTAGATACTACATGTTTGCCTTAATTTAAGATGAAATGATGTCAGCCTGAGAAACAGTACCTGTAAACTGTAATATTATTCCAACCCCAAACAGCCTGTATCTCATGCAATAAGATATTATGAAGTGACCAATGAATCAACAATCAATGTTGAGTCAGACTGCTTATGATCTACATCAAAGAATTGTAAAACCTATTATACTTGCATTTTTTTAACATATTGGTTACTCAAAGCATATCAATTAATTCCATAATGTTGTAAATTCTTATTGATGTTGTGTTGAATTGATCGGGATGATATTCTGCCAGCTATGCCTTCAGTCCAGAGACGGTCTCCCCAAGAAACCGTTGAATTTATCTGGACAATAAGATGCTAGACTCTATGCTTGGTATATAAAGAAAGAATCTTGACTTAATTTGAACTGTAATGATATAACAAGGTGTAGGAATCCACCATGTGGGGAGAGCACAGGGAGGGGTTGGGGGAATCCCAGAGCCTATGAAACTGTGTCACATAATGCAACGTAATTAATCAAAATAAATAAATAAATAAAATCATAAAAAAACTATTCTTTAAGCTATTCCAAAACTGAATCATAAAATACCATCAGACTTCATTTTTAAAAAATTCACCTAATTTATCTAATTCTATATCCTACTCATATTACATAGAAACATAAAAACATAAACTAAAATTTAATATAAATACAGAATTAAATGATTTTGTAATACTAAAACATATCCCCAGCACATTTCCAGAAAATGCTTTTAAAGTAAATTGACTTCACTGGAATTTGAAAACATTTCACTTATACTGAACTCTTCAGTTAGCGTTTCAATTTTGGTATTTGGAAATTCTTCAGAATTTGGAAAAATTACAATATGTGACAATTTCTAATTCAAACACAAAAGCAATACTGCTACCTTCTAAAAAGTATCACATGCCATTTGGAGTTCCTCTGCACTGTCATTTTTACTTGATCCTATGTGCATGCATTCATTTTCTTGTTACTATGGCAGTCTATTACATTACAACAATTCGAAAAATACTTCAATAAATGAAACAAACCCGAAAGACTAAAAGATGACATGAATCAACCATACCTACCTGTTTTGGGAGTCTTGACTTACTGAAGAAACAGAATCAGAACCTTCCACTGGAGTAGGAATTCTTTCTGACAGAAAACTTGTCTGAAAAAAAAAAAGTAAATTTATATTATTCTTTTTCTTGCTGATCTCAGTACTCCTGAGCTCTCTTTGGCAGCATTCTGTTCTCTTATACCTTACTTTGTAACTATAATAAACTTAAGTGTTCTTCAAATATTTAATTATTTGAGTATCAAATGCAGAAATTACTTCATCTTTTTTAAAAACACGATATATGAGCTGCTCTTGTGCTTTGGCTTATTAACCCTCCACCTGCATTGCTGGCATCCTATGAGTGCCAGCTCTTATGTCCCAAGTGTTTCACTTTTAATCCAGCTCTACAAAAAATAGCCTAATAAAAAACAATTCAAGATGGCCCAAGTGTTTGGGCCCTGATACCCATGTCAAAGACCTGGCTTTAGTCTGGAGCATTCAAATAAATAGACATATTAAATATACATATAATGAGGGTTAAAATATTCAATGTGTACCATTAATGGCTATTCCCATGCAATTTCTAGTATTCATGACCAAAATTCAGCTATTCTTCCCCCAAATGACCACAAATAACTTCTAAACTGGAATGCTCATTAATGTAAAAAAAAATTTCATGTAGAATCTCTATGACCAGAAGAAAATACATCATACTACCCAATTAAGTCATAGACTTCTGTCCCATTAGAAGTACTGTTGTCAGGCCTGGCACAATAGCATAGTGGTTAAGGTCCTTGCCTTGAGCGCTCCAGGATCTCATATGGTTCCCAGTTCTAATCCCGGCAGCCCTGCTTCCCATCCAGCTCCCTGCTTGTGGCCTGGGAAAGCAGTCCAGGATGGCTAAAACCTTTGGGACCCTGCACCTATGAGGGAGACCTGGAAGAAGTTCCTGGCTCCTGGCTTTGTATTGGCTCAGCTCCAGTTGGTGTGGCCACTTGGGCAGTGAATCATTGGATGGAAGATGTTCCTCTTTGTCTCTCCTCCTCTCTGTATATCTGTCTTTCCAATAAAAAAAAAAAAAAAACATAAAAATAAAAAGAAGTACTAATGTCATCCTACATCAAATTAAGAAATATTGTATCCCCCAAGAGTACTGTGATGCTAAAGAAGTTATACTTACCACAAAAAAATCACCTTGTCCAGAATACAAAAACACAATAATGAATATATTTAAACTCAATTTGCATAGAAGAAAAAAATGAAACTTTGAGATACTTACCTTCTTCCATGCCTTTGCTATAGATTCATGCAAACCATAAGGAATTAACACTTGTAGGCCTTCACAGGTTCCATATATATGACGACACACAGAAATGAAAGCACCTTTGACCACAGGCAACATATCAGATCCAGAAAAAATAGATGTGTCTTCATCAAGAAGTTTTTTTGAAAACTGGGCAATTACGTGAGCACCTGTAAGACTAAAAGATGATACCTAAAAGTGATTCTAAGGCTACTTAATGTTGACTTTCTAAAGTATTATCAAAAGGTTAGCTTTGTCATTAAAAACTCTTCGTTTTCTTTGCTCCATTTTCTCATCCTCTAGCTTTTCTCAGACATGTAAATTGTCCTATCCCCTTTACACATAGATGTCCAGTAATGACAGCAGTGTCAGCAAACTGGGGAAAGCAGCATATAGACAAGAAAAAAGTGCCTACACATCTAAAGGATAACAGACGACACAGGTCCATGCATGTGATGTAAATATTAACTCAAATTCAAATCATAATCTGAAAATATGCATTTCTAACACTCTTAAGGATTTAATTTTCCAATCTCAAAGGCTGTGACACTTTTTTAGATGATGTTTACATAACTGATCATGGTGGGAAGGACTGAGGGTTAGGGAAAAGTGGGTGTGATCATCGTTTCCAAATTTTCTGTTTCTTTCTGTTTCTGGGGCGGAAAAGGGAGAAAAGTAGAGAAACCATACCCAGCCTCCCAACTACCCCAGTACCCAGGGATGGGGAATGGCCACCCAGCATCAACCCATGGTCTAGATGTATTGTATTCGCTGAAGGTTCTGCCCAGGCGTTATCCATAATTCTGAAATGCTGTTAATCTCTCTGACCCAAGGCTGAGGAAACGCTTCCAATGTCCATTGGCTGACACAGTCCACCTTATAGTTTCCATCCACACAGATTTTTTGCTGTCATCGTTAAGCTGGACTAGTTGTCCAATCTGTTCCATTCGCCTTCCTTTGCTATGGTACCAGATATCCTCTGCAGGGTCCAATGGGCTGCCACATCTTTCATGCGCATCAGGTCCTGCCATCCACTACTCAATCTTTTCCACTGAGAAGGACCACTTCTCACCCGGTCACCTCCTGTACCCATGGTTCATGGATCTGGCAAACACAATGTAGGTGGGCCTGAGAGCCTGGGCCAGGCAACCAGGGACCTGCTTGATCTCCTCTCCCCATGAGGCTCACAGACTTGCACCTACTTCACAGGTGGGCAAAGGACCTGGGACAGGCAACCCAGGTCCTACCACATACCCCATCACCAGGGTTTACAGAACCAGCACCAATGCACAGGTGGGCCTAGGACCTCTCACCAACCTCCCCCCAACTGGCATGGCTCACCTCATGTCAATATCCACCAGCGGGTGCTGTAGCCTGGCTTGGTTCAGTCTGCCCCAGGTTTCAGCTCATGCTAAGGGGTGCTGCAGCCAAGCCAGGCCTAGCCAGTCCCCCGTCTCAGCACCACTGTCAACTGGCTAGTGTTGTGGCCCAACCCAGCCCCTCCTGCACTCCATCCTTGTTCATAGATCTGCTGTGGATGTTATGAACTGGCCCAGTTGGCCCAGGACACACCTGACTCATATGTATACCATTGGGTACTATAATTCGGCCTGGTGTGGGATGCTCCTTGCTCTGGTTCTTGTACTCACCAGCAGGGACTGCATTATGGCAAAGCAGTTCCCCAAGCACTTATATCAGGTCTCCTCTCAGTGGCAGATATTGCACACACTGGTGGGACATTGGCCCAGATGGACTTAGTGTACCTCTTGCCCTTGCAGGAACAGTGCCCTTGTCCAAACGGCCCATACCCCTTCTAGTTCTTTCTACTGCATGCTACAGCCTATCCACACCTGATCCACACCCTGACATAGTTATCACACGAAGTTCAGCGGAAACCAAGACATAGCCCAGCCCATTCTACACCCATCCTGGCTCTCATAAGTACCAGTGGGTTCTGGAGTCTAGCCCAGTATGGCACTTCCCAGACCCAGTCCACACCTATGACACTTTCTTTAAAAGCATTTTTAAATTTATGCACTTGAAAAATACAAAAAAACAAAACAGTGAAAGAGACGGACTGACAGAGTCAAAGAGAAACAGAATGAGCAAGATCTCAGTTGCTGACTCATTCCCCATAGATTAAAAATATGGAAATCTGGGGCCAGCGTGGTAGCCCAGCAGCTAAAGTCCATATAGGTACCAGTTCTAATCCTGGCAGCCCCACTTCCCATCAAGCTCTCTGCTTGTGGCCTGGGAAAGCAGTCAAAGATGGCCAAAAGCCTTGGGACTCTGCACCCACACGGGAAACTGGCTTCAGATTGGCACTTCTCCAGCCATTGTAGCCACATGGGCAGTGGATTAGGATGGAAGATCATCCTCTCTGTCTCTCCTCCTCTCTGTATATGTGACTCTCCAATCAAAATAAAATAAATCATATATATATGTATACATTTAATCCAAGGCTGCCCAAGTGTGTGGCAGCAACTCAATAACATTGAGCTATTTCCTGTTGCCTTTCAGGGTCTACATTACAGAAAGCTGTGGTAAGGAGCCAGGACCTAGGCACAATGTCAAAGGAGGAGGCATCTTAATCAGTTTCCTAATCATTAAGTCCGAGAGGAGGAAGGGCAGAGACATAGAGAGAAAGCAAGGGAAGGAGATGGTGTGGCAAGACCAGCCCTCCCATGTGCTGACCACAATAGCTTGTCAGAGACTGGTTCAGGCACAAGCCAGGGCCTAGATCTGTAACTAGGCAGCAGACACACTTCAAGTATACTACATGCATCCATTTATTTAATTTTTACAATAATCACATAAAGAAGATACATTCTTATTCAATTTCTGTGGGTAAAGAAATATAGATAAAGCTTAAAGAGTGAAATGCTTGCTGAAATCAGAACTCAAATCTAGACTGCCTTCTTTCAATTTCTTTTTCTAAAAGTTTTCCTTTTTCTTTCTCTTTTAAGCAAATAAAAAAAAAAGTAGATGATAGACTAAATAATGCACAAAATTACCAAGTTCCATTCACCCATTTTCAACAATTACAGACATTTCCCCAGACTTGTTTTATCTATCCCGGCCCCCCAACTAATAAACGTCAGTATCATAATAAGGGCCAGGCATCATGTTATTTCACCTAGTGTCTATCTTTGATAAAAAGTTTCTATTATAAATGCCAATACTCTACTCAGTAAAATTAATTATAATATCTTAATATCAACTATACTCAAACCATATAAAGTTCTTCTGAAATTAAGGAAGAAAACAACTTTTAATAATAAGTATCAGAAATGAACCAAGTTTCATAGAGTTCAATAGATTGTTCTGCTTCTTCTGGGCCCTTTCCTTTCTCCCTTGCCACTGACTTACTGGAAAAATTATTTTTCCTATCCATTCTTTGCACAACTGCTTCACTATAGTATCATTTACCTTGTTTCTCTAGTTCTAATTATCACTTTACAGAAAACAAAAATTTTCAAGAGCTAATTAGATTTCAGCTCTTTATTAGTATTTTCTTAGTAAATCAGTTTTGCCTGTCTGTCTCCCATTTCAAGAAGCATAGATCTGGTCACCTCGATCTGGTATTAGTCAGGTGATGGGAATATGACCTCTCCAAGAGAAAGCTCTTGCCATTAACACTTCACCCATTGATCTAAAAAAAATACTTAAGTTACATGAGAGACAGAGTGAGAGAGAAAGGGAGAAAGAGAAAACATACATCAACGATTCACTCCACAAATGACTATACAGACACCAGTTCAGGCTCAAGTTTTCTAGAGCTGGGAACACAATCTAGGCCTCCCACACGAACCCATCAGTTGAATCCTTACCACTGTCTCCATGTTCTGCAGGAGCTGGAAGTAACACCGAATCCAGCAATACTGACTGTGGACATCTCAACTGTTAGGTCAAACAACACCCATCACTCACTGATTTTAGCACTAATTGGTGGTTATATCCCACATTCATTATTTCTGAAATTACTAGATAGTGATTTTACTGATATAATTTCATTTCTATTGATCACCTATAAACCAGCTAAAAATAATTTACTACTTATGCCTCAACATAATAGTTATACAAAATAGTCTTATACAAAAGGCTTTTAATTAATTCTGGTCTAGCAATCTTGTTTTTTTTTTTAAGATTGATTTATTTTGATTGGAAAGTCAGATATACAGTGAGGAGCAGAGACTGAAAGGAAGATCTTCCGTCCGATGCTTCACTCCCTAAGTGGCTACAACTGCCAGAGCTGCACCAATCTGAAGCGAGGAGCCAGGAGCCTCTTCCAGGTCTCGCTCCCGGGTTCTGGGTCCCAAGACTCTGCGCTGTCCTTGACTTCTTTCTCAGGCCACAAGCAGGGAGCTGAATGGGAAGTGGGGCTGCCGAGATTAGAACCGGTGCCCATAAGGGATCCTGGCTGCATGCCAGGCAAGGACTTTAGCTGCTAAGGCTACCACATCAGGTCCATGCCCTAGCAACCTTAATACTGACATGACAGCCCACTTTTGGCTTGATTCTTCTAAAACTTGTGTTAGGCATATTAATATATCACAGCCATCATTTCTTCGATTTTCAAACTGGCCACTTTAAGGCTACAGGAGGCCCTTTCTGATTAATTCTGAGATGTCTGATACTCTACAATTAGTCTTGAATAGGCTCCTTACATCTGCGATTAGTAAGAAAGCCTCAGATTACCTGACCACTTGCTTGGTGCGGGCACTGCGGTTCAGCATGCTAACTGCCATCTGAGATGCAAGCATCTCTACTTCCTACCCTGCCGCCAGCTCAGGAGGAGATCCAGCCGGAGTTCCTGGCTTCTGGCTTCAACCTCGCCCACCCTCAGACTTTGTGGCCATTTTGGAAGTTAGCCAACAAATGGAAAATCTCTATATGGCTGTAACTATGCCTTTTAAATAATATTACTTGACCTTTCATATAAAGCAATTAGATTTCATACATGCCGTTTTATAATTAGAATTTAAAATAATTAGAATTTAAAATTACAGTACTTCCAATTCTCCTCCTCTCTTTCTTACTTTTCTATTTTAATCTTTGTGCTCATGTACTTTGTATATTTTATAATCACAAGGTCAATCCTCTATTAAGTTAAAAATTCAACAAGTAGTAAATACAAAGACCACTGTTCCTCAGGTGACTAAACAAGGGTACAAATAG